TGTGCATACCGACCATGCCTCATTGAGGTGGTTGATGAACGTAACCGACCCCAGCGGGAGATTAATCCGATGGAGGCTCCGCCTCTCAGAATTCGATTTCGAAATCAAGTACAAGAAGGGCAAGGCGAACAGTCAAGCTGACGCCCTGTCAAGATTACGGACCGCAGGAGAAACCGTCGACGAAATCGACGACGAAATCCCATGCTTTATGACCGAACCGGCCGAGGGTACAGTGGAGAACGAGGAAAGTTTTGACGCGATAGACGACATCCTCGCTCTTGAGGGGGGGACCGCCTCTGATCGCCTCCATCAATTCCAAGCTGTCACTCCGGAGGAGCTCATTCGCGAGCAAGCCGTCGACCCCTTCTGCAATCGCATCAAGGAAGAAATGGACGCCGGAAAGGTGAGAGCATTCAGCATGGAAACCGAGGAACTCGAAGGAACTCTATGCCGTACCGCGGCAGAGTTTGTACAAGTGGTGATACCACAATCGTTAAGGGACCGCGTCCTAGGGTTGAGCCACTACGCAAAATTGGCAGGCCACCCGGGAGGCAGGAAACTTTACAAGACTTTGAGAAGATATTTTTATTGGCCTACGATGGCCCTAGACTGCTATGCAGTCGCGAAGAATTGCACCGCATGCGCGCGGGAAAGGGTGAAGCTAAGAAGAAACACGAAGGAAATGAAGCTGTTCACGCCCAAAGCTCCGCTGGAGTTTGTCGCCATCGACATCCTCGGCGAGCTAATTACAACTAAACGAGGATATCGGTACATTCTCGTGATCAGCGATCGATACTCGAAACTGGTACGAACCGTACCGTTGAAGAAGATATCAGCTGCGCACATCGCACAAGCCTTCGTTCACCATTGGGTATTCGTGTACGGACCGCCGGTCAAGCTGCTGTCCGACAATGTAACACAGTTCACGGCCCGGTTCTTTCAGAATTTCTGCCGAATTCTCGGCATACGCAATGTGTTTACGACTACGTACCACCCGCAAGCCAACGGCCAAGTTGAGAGGTTTAACCGCACGCTGACTTCCGCCTTGCGAAAATACGTTGGAGAGCATCCCAAGGACTGGGACCTATTTAGCGACGCTGTGACGTTTGCATAGAACACGCAAGTTTATCGAACTACGAATATCGCGCCCTTCGAGCTGGTGTTAGCTCGGGCGCCGAGAAGCATTGCGTTACAAACACAGCCAAGTTTGGAAGGATTTAGCTCGAATCGAGCGTACTACCTGAAATGGCAGTCGTGGTTGGAAAGCCTGATGAAAGGCGCTGATAGGAGTTTGCGAAAGGAACAAGCCCGGTACAAACGAAATTTCGACGCCCGCCTTCGCAAACCGCAATATGAGATCCCGCCGGGATCCTACGTGTTCCTTCGGAAGGAGCAGGGCACGGCTAGCGAACCGAAACACAAGCTGGCACAAGTCGCCACAGGCTCTTATCAGGTTCGAAGATCGGATCAAGATACGGTAGTCATTGCCATTGGCGATTAGGAGGAACGCGTATCGCGAGACAGGGTGGAGTTAGCCCCAAGCCCGATGGACTATGCGCCGATAACTGGCCTACGGCAAACGCTACAGTTCCTGGGAGAGCCGGAGCTAAACGAAGAAGGAGAGGTAATGGAGGACGAGAAACGTCCTCACACCCGTGCGCCTACGACGGGGGACCAGGAAAATTTAGTTGGTCGAACGCCGACAGCGGAGACACCTGCAGACCTACGCGAGTTCGGAAAGTCCAGAGACGAGGATGAGGCGGAAGATCTTCGGAAGGGGGAAGGACAGTTGGACACGCAGGAAGAAGGAACCGAGAGTCAGGAGTATGTGATCGACAAGATCGTGGACCACGGCTACGACGAGGAGAAATTAATTCTCAAAGTGAGGTGGTATGGGTATACCATCGAGGACGCAACGTGGGAACCTATTGAGCAGATCCCCCGCAGCGCAGTAGTCACATATTTCCGAAGGAAAAGGCTACCCTTACCCACGCAAGCGTCGCACGCACAACCGGGATAGCCATCGTAAATAGAATTAGTAGGTTAGACACAACAGAGAGGTCAGAACTTCGAGAAAGGAACACATCTACGGGGGTTCGCAGATAAGGAGTTTGAAGGAAAGGAGAGCAAGGCAGAGAAGCGAGACTGTATCCTTGGATGAGACATTGAGCCTCTCGGAAAACACACACGCCTCATCACGGTACGCACAAGAAATGACGTTTCGAACGGACGGTCCGCCCACGTGGGAGGGATGATGAAATCGAATTATATATACATATGTAAGCGTGTCGACAACAACCCTCTGAGCAGGCGACACAAGTGAGAAGTCGATTCCAGCTATGCTGTGAAATTATAATCAAAAAGCGGGAAAAATTACTACAGCTGTAGTACGCACGTGAAGTGGTGATCGTGGCCACAGTCGGCGACATAACTATTCAAAGTCGCCCCGCAGCCAAGCCCCACCCGACCTCACACGAAGCCGATCGTCACACTCACTGCTAACACACTGCCCATGCTCGACAAGCACGAAGACCCGTCCAGAGGGACCACCCTCAGAAGAACGCTGCTACGAAGTCACCCCGCGGTGACCGACGGCGACGCGCACAACCAGTCCTATTTTCTAGAGTGATCTACTTAGCACTTACCACCATGACCTCTCTTCAACTCTGTCGTTTCTTTGTTTCTTTTCTTTCCCTCTTTTCTGTTATGTTTCACTCTATTCTATTGTATTTTATTTCTTTTTGTTGTTGCAGGACTCTGGCGACGCGGCCGCGTATCGCGAACCTCGATCAAACAAGACCACAAGACATATCAATAGACGGACGAGGACGAGACAGCGCGACGAATAAGAGAGAGCACGCGTTGGTAACGTCCCGAGAAAGGACGATGGTGAGGGAAAAAGGGAACCTCCCCGCTTTTTCAAGAAATACTGACGGTCCGACACTGCAAGCCTCGGCGTACAGAGGAGAAGGACATGGCTATGAAATACGGGATCGCGCGTGAAACACAGTGAGAAGGTCGCATTCTGTGATACTTTGGACCCGCGGCAACAGCCCCCACCGAGAACGGATGTGTCTTATGAATTTTGTTGCTGTCGTATGGAGACGGGCACTGCCAGTGGGACTTATGATTTTGTTTGACACGGGACCACGGTCCGAAGGAAGGCAGTCGATACGCGGACTGAGGGACAGTCTGTGGGAAATCTCGCAAGCATGCCATCGGCTCGTCTACGCACTGAAAGTCGTACACCGGTAATGACGAAAGTGACGTCGCCATAACGGTAGGAGGACGGTGTAACAAGTATGGTGCTGACAATGGTGCGCTTATCGTGAGAGCAGGGTGAGGGCCACCTCACGCAGGTCAGAAAGAGGATTGTAGGACCAGCGAAGATCAAGGAAATTGCCTCGTCAACCGCTACGAAGGCGCTGCAGAAAGGGGACCGAGTCTTGATCTTATCCGAAGGCCTTCAAGGTTTCTTTCTCGCTGTTCTGTTCCGATTTTGGTGGTGCAGGACAAAGGAGACAGAACCGGAATTAAGCGAGAGACAACTCGCCGGACTGGCGCGCATACACGCGTCACCGACGCGTGTGGGGAAAATCACGTCTGGATCAGCGATCCGCCCTCATCAGATCAAAATGAGAGGAGGAAAATAAGAAGTACTGTGTACTGTACTTCACAAAGAAGAAGGGACAAACGGAGAAGTGTGGCGTGGTCAAAGTGGAACAACAGTCAGCATTCGAAATTTTTATCGAAATTAAGGGGCAAGCACAGCATTTGTTGGTCGCTCGCTAAATGCCGACGGCATAAGTACCCCGGCGGCAAACCCACCAACGACCGAGCAGGACACCCACAACACCGCCGCCAGACGACGTCGCCAAACTCGCATTAGGCGAGGTGATTACGATCCACGGATGAAGGGACCGACGCTCGACGGTCGCATGGACATTCCCCCCCCCCGAACAGAGGTCACGCCAATTTCGAGGTACCCGCGTATCATTAGACACAAAACTCGCATAGGAACCGTCCTCCCTTGCACAGAACAGCGGCTATCCACTGTCGCAGCAAACCTCATTGTTCGAAGCGCCGTAAGGAAGACGAAAGAAAGAAGGGGAGCGGATTGTGATCTATTTATTCATACGGCGAGAACGACCTCTACGGAGAGAAAGTGTCACTCGACGAGCTTGGGACCGACAATCTGTCTGTTGCGTGCAGCGACTGACGTCGCCCAGCTCAGGACCTTGTTTATGCCCTGAGTGACCTACCGAGGCGACCCCCTCCTTTTACTTCCTGGTCTTTGACTCCCTTTCTAGCTGCCTAATTTTTATTTGCTCTACGTTGGGTTGCTTGTTTTTTTTGTGAAGGCGGAATACGACCCCGCACCGCGACGCCGACGCGCAAGACCAGGATCGACAGATTGGGGATGGAAATTCGTTAGGCAGGAAAAAGTTACGCGACTGTCGTGCTCGGCTTTCACTTCGCTTTGTTCGGCTACATTCTATTTTTTCTGGTGACGTCGGAGACCTGGTCGCGTCCCTCCGACACTAATCAGCAAGACCACCAGGTCAGTCAAGGGAAGGCCGTTGAAGACGTTCGATAAGGGCTCCACAGTTGTGAAGACCCTGGTTGGTTCGAGCGGACGGTCTGTCGGACTAACGTACACGCAAGGAGACATTGTGAATGACCAACGCTACGTGATCGTGCCGCACGGTACAGCAGAAACGGGGCGACCATTGACAATGGAGACCCAAGTCTACCTACGCACCCAGACCTTCATCCGAGAGACCAGTGAACAACGGCAGCGTCGCTCCGAGGGAATGGATCTTCACGAACCTACACGCCGCAGACATCTCAATTCTACTGTGTCACAGCCGCTACAAAAAAAGAGGGGAGGCCGAAACAAGATCAGGAGTCGATCTCAAAGAACGGAGAAGGTCATACGAGACGTGGAATTTATTGCGGGACGTTCGCAACATGGCGAGACTTACGACGACCGTAACGCGCTACAAGGGCGCTTCCGGAAGCCTCTCACCGGACAGCGAACAAGGCGGGGCCATTGGAAAGATGGAACCCCTATTCACAATTAGTACGTTCCCTCGACGAGGTAGCTGGACAGACAATGAGACCGTCTGAAGGTTGAGAATGAAAAAGGGGGGTTTCAAGAAGCAAAAGGGGCAAGTGACCCCGGCAATGAAAATGACGTTGGACTCATTTAGGGCGTCTGCAATTAGCAGACGCATGCAAAAAAAGAGGAGGAAAGGGGAGACGCACATCGCCGATGGGAGAAAGAGAATGTGCAAGAAAGAGGAGGAATTTGAGGAATGAAGGGGGTAGACGGGGTATGGAAGGAAGACCCCGGGGCACTTCGAACTTGCGAGGAAAGCCAACGCCCGGACGTCTACGGGTGGCACTATCGTCCGAGTGTTCCGATGGAGAAGGAAGCATGGTATTTTCGTCTTACCCTTGCTAGAACGCCGCGCAGAGTGATTGATGACCGGGAAACACGGTCAGCAGCGGCAGGAGATTATACGATGGCTGGGCGTTGCGCAAGGGCGCTCAGAAGGGGGAAATGTAGTGCAATACGCACCTGAAAAGGGGGGTGAAAAGAAATGAAAATGATGGGGTATGACAAGCAAAAGTGGAAATCATTTCACTTTATTATTTTAATTATTAATTATTAATTAGTTGCATATTAGTTATTTAACATTAGATTAGATCTACGATCTAGCGCCGAGAGCTACTGTAGTGGCTCCGGCGGGGCGATATATACCTTAGCCCTCTGACCACCAAGTCAGTAAAGGTAACCCGAGTTGCCAGAGTCTGATATCGCCTTGGTTGAAGTCCGTCTTTTACAAGACATTCCCTTTAACTACAGATTACTTTATCCTTTGCGCTCGGGGGTCCCCTTTTTCCTTATCCATTTTCCCTTTATTTCCCTATCCTAATTTCCCTTAATCTTGAGTTGGTCCCACCTTGTAGGATTGCGATCCGCAACGTGACGTCATTTGCCATCGGGCTTCTGTGTTGGTGCACCAGTGGTGCTTTTCTCAGTGTTGGTTCCATCGGAATCTGGTTGCGACCGATCCGTTGTTGATACTTTGCCATCGGGCAGTACGAAGGTGTAGCGCTGCTACGTTTTCTTCTTTCCCGACGGGCTACGTTGCGACGTCCCCGTCGAAGACCTTATCAAGAGTATAAGGTGTACAAGGCGCTCTTCGAGCATTGGATTTACGACCCATCGGACCAGGTTTACCTAAACACCCCTCCGAACTCGTCGAGCAGTTGCCTTTACAAGTCTCTACCACCATTTACCGATCCCGGGCTGGGCCCTTCTCTTTGCCCCCCCCTATCAGGGGTCCGAGCTACTGCGGGCCGCAAACCCGCTTAAAGAGGACAGGGAGCTTCGAACACTCCGTAGCGCTGTGCCGTTGGCAGTTGTTGTTTTTGTTGCTGTTGTTTGTGTTGGACCGTCGGACCTTGGTCTCTGCCTAACAGGCGCATTGCACTACATCTTGCAGACGGCTTCATTGATGGCATGGAGTGGCAGCAATTGAGCACTTTGAAGTCAAGCGGGTTGTATTTGCAAGGCGTCATGCACGAATCGTCTGCTGTACAGTTGTAATCTGATCAGTGTGAAATGAGACCATAGAGATTTTGACACTTGTTAGAATTGGATCCATTGTGTGACAGCCCCTGTTCACAACGAGCCCTGCCAAAAGGATATCTTCCAGTGAGCAAGCATGAGAACGGCTCATCGTTTGATGAGCAATTGGTTGTTGGTAAGACGCACTTACCAACACAAGCAAGCAGAAACGCAGACCCAGGGAGCAGTGAGCACCACCGCGCCAAGGGTCACAGGGAAAGAGGCAACAGCAACACCTTGCCCAGAAGGGGAAAGCTAAGGCAATGCATGTGTATATAGAGTACCTCAGACGAGCGCGACAGTCTGAGAAGCAAGCGCAATTGTTCTCATTGCAAGAGAACGGCAAAAGGGCACGCGGTCCAATTCGGGATGGACGAGGGTGGGGCAGACAGCTAATTCCGATACGTGCAATCCGATATGTGCAACATGTATCTACAAACACGGAATTAGAGCAGCAAAGCAGTAGAACAGTACCGGCGTTCGAGCGAAAAGCGGATACTTAAGAAAGAGGAATGAGCAGTATAAAGAGGATAGAGGGAGGAGGAAGCCCCAGCAATTAGTGCTGACCAATCTTTGCCATCCTTACCCTTCGGCCGCTAAGTTCTTCATCAGAAGAGTGTCCTCTACCTACTACGCCCGTCGCGTCGGATACCGTGTTGACACCTCTACACATTTCCCTGCTCGATACGTTGCACTGACTTCCACTGTAACCAGCTCGCCATGACCCATAATTCGACAACAGTACAGCTGGGCGATGCCGCGAAATTGAGACCCCACTAGACCTCCCACGCACATCCACGATTGCTGAGCATATATTCTGATAATTGCAAAATAGCAGGGCTAAAAATAGAACGGACCAAGTAATATAGAAATGACAATATACTATCTGTGGAACTAATCAAAGCACGATTTTTGACGAGATTTCGTACATCAAAGATCTTTTCTCGACAGCAAGGCTTTTGTACAATAAAAAGACAACCACGCTCATTTGGGCGGGCTTTTCAAAAAACGCACTGTATTTGCGCAATACTTCGATGTCGACGCGTAGACCCATTTCGTCATCTCACTATGCAGTCAAAAATGCACATCGCCGACCCTTCAAATCCACACCAGCTCCCCAACAGCGGCTCCCGTGCCCCCCTTGCCGTCCTCCCCGGCCGCGTTCCCACCCATCCCCCGGCAATCATCCCCTCCGTTCCCCTCCTCTTTGCACCCACGCACGCCCACCGCAACTCCGGGCACACCTCGTGCTCTCTTAATAACGCTTTCCCAGTGCCCCAATCGCAGACCAGCCGCACCTTCCCCTATCAGGCACTGTACTCCCCTCGCGCCTTCTACTGGTTGTATTGAAAGAAAAGCACAGATCGCTCCTCGTGCTACGAATTCTACTTTCAGCGCCGTGCCCTGCCTCATCACGGACTCCGACATGCAGAATATTTCGGCCACCGAGGCCACCGCCGGTATCCAGATCCTCGCCGACACAGCCCTCCGCCGTTATGAAGCATTTTCTCGATATGAGACTACACCTCTCAATGACAGCTCTGACGAAGAATGTGACTCTCCGTCCCCAATTCTCGACACATTCTATCAGAGTGGGGGGTCTGCGTCAATCGTCCAAATGACAAACTTTAATATTCGGCAATTTCAAAGCATTTGGACGACGTTCGCGGATTTTATAACGTCAAAATTCAATGTCGGGCGTGGGCGCAAATCTCCGTTTACGGGCAAAGACGTTTTGTTCATGGTGATTACGGTCCTCAAGCACGGCGGTAATTGGGACCTCCTAGGGCGTATTTTTAAGATCAAAGGGCCAACGTTCGAGCGTCTTATAATGATTTTCATCCGTCTAATAACGGATGACTTCTATCGTCTGTTTGTAGTCCAGACGATGGAGCATCACAGCATGACTGTATTGGAAGAGAAAGCAAAAACCTTTAGCAATTTCAGGTATGCGTTGTAAGCAACTGACGTGACGTTTCAGCATACGAATCGGCCATCGGGAAACCATGAGGAATCTAAAAAATATTTTTCGGGGAAGCACAAATTATATAGGTATAAAGTAGAGGTTTCGGTCTTACCGACCGGGTTTGCGATTGATTCTGCACAACATTATCCGGGGTCCTACTCGGACATCGATATTATGCACCGCAACAAGACTTTTCACGACACAGCCTTGCGAAAGTGTGAGGGAGGGGGGCAAATGACAGATGGTGGACTTTATTCGGAGGAGTTTCCGGAGCATTGGTGCCTTATTGCAGACAAAGGTTACCAGGGGGCAATGGAATTTGTGCGCGCCGTTACACCCCACAAGCGTCCTGCCCGTGGGATGTAGTCTTTCGAGGAGGAATCTTTTAACCGCAAACTATCTTCGGATAGAATCATAGTGGAGACTTTTTTTGGGCGTCTATGCTCGCTTTGGGGAGTGGTTGGGAGCAAGTATCGGTGGAGTGAAGCCAATTATGATCCCATTTTTAGGCTCTGCCTAGCGCTGACAAACGCGCATGTTCGTGGCGACGGTCTGCGTTGTGACGATTTGGACTTCTATCAGCGATTCAAAAATCGCAACTACAGTATCGGGGGTGAGCTTTTGGAGAAGCGCAAATTGAGGCAAGAACGCTACTGTCGCAGGCGTCGACAAAAGATGGATACCAGGTTTCGCAGCATGATTGGTTCTGACGAAGACACTCAGTCTCTGTGATTGGTGCGCTAGGATATTTGTTGTTGCGAACTATTTTTTATATGAAATAGGTGTTCAGTAATTACAGATATGTCGGAAAACAATAAATTTATATTGCAATACCAAAGCCTTTGGCCTAATCATTTTATGAGCACTTTGACGGGCGTCGTTTGAAATGTCTAGAAAATTGTGCACCGAAAGGCCTTTGCGCAATAGCTCGATATTTGTGGCTGAGCTCTACTGTATTTGTGGTTTACTCACAATAGTGCGGGCTGGAGCAATTTCCGGAGACCAAGAAGGCGTACAGTACCAAGGGTACCCTTAAGGTTGCAGTACCAAGGATAACGGTACCCTTGGGTACAGTAGTGCACACCGTACTGCGGTGCCCACAATGCGCTGAAGCATTGTTTATGACGTCCGCGTTGAAAGTACAGTGCCCTAGTAGGGTACAGCAGTTTGGTGTAATGCTGCTTGAGTTTACACCCACCATGCAGCAATGCACCCTGTTGCAAACCCTTC